CCTCAAGCTCGGCAAAGCTTACGCCGAAAGCTTCATTTCCGCCGCCACGGCCACTCCGTTGGATGCGTCGCTCCGCACCCCTTCCATGCAGGAAGTTCTTGCCGCGGACAAGGCTGTCTGGGGTGCCATCGCTGGTTTAATGAGGGACGAGAAATTCTCGTTGGCTGACGCCTTGCAGGAGATCACAGTCACTCGGCACATGATCCCCACGGTTCTCTGCCCCCGGCCCAGGTCAATGCCTGCCCCGCCGGTCCGCGACTCCAACCCTCGGAGTGGAGCCAATGTGGCAAGCGACCGCGCCGATAATCCTGACCGCCCGCCTAAGAAACCGCGCAAGGACCCTCCGAACCCTAAGGGTAAGGCTAACCCTAAAGCCCCAGCCGGTGGCCGCCGGCCCGTTTCCGAACTGTGGGATGAATCTTGGCATTCCGTCGATGCCAATGGAAAAGAAATATGCCGGCGGTTTGTGCTTGGCCGGTGCAAGCTGTCCTCGTGCCGGTTCGCCCATTCGTGCCCTATTCCGCTTCCGACCGGTAAACCTTGTGGGCAACATCATACCGCTTCGAAGCATAAGTCGATGGCCCACTGAGAATCTCCCCAAGCGAAGACGCTGGCAGCTCTCGCCCCGCCCCCGTGGCTAGCACTGTTGCTGCGCATACGGTTGATGAAGCCTCAGTTGTGGACTCATCAAGCTCCGATGGCTCCGTTGTTGAGGTTGAGACCCCGGCGCTTCAGCCGAGCTGCCGCAACCCTGGCTCGCAACGATCCCGCTCACCAATACGGCCTAAGCTGGGCTACTCTTTTTCATACGTCCGGCCTTGCATCCCCTTGGGACGTAAGCTTGGCAGCTCTCCCCACCCGTGTGCTGGGCGTGAGGCGGGCACCGCTCCACCCGCTTCCGCCCCCAATGTCATCCCCGCAAGCCCAAAACCGGCCGCTCCTCAACCGGCTCTGTTTCTCGACCTGTTTTCAGGCGCAGCCGCCCCACTCAGCACGGCACTCAGTGAACTAGGCTGCGACCGTGTCGCTCCGGTGGATGCGTTGTTCGGTGAACAAATCGACGTTCTGGATCCAGTCCATCAGGAATCCCTCAAGCGTCTCTGCTGCTCCGGCCTGGTTCGCGTGCTGTGCGCCGGCCCTCCTTGCTCTAGTTTTAGCCGCGCTCGCTTGCGCCCCGGGGGACCCGCGCCGGTTCGTACCCCTAAGCACCCCCAGGGTATCCCTAAACCCAGCCCTAAACAGCAGTCCGAAGTTGAGGTTTCGGATCAGCTCCACGCCTTTACGCGCGAGCTGCTTTCCCTGATTCTCATCAACGGGGGTATTGCTATCTTGGAAACCCCGTCTACGAGCCTGCTGTGGCACCATCCGGGTTGCCTTTCTTGGATTCGCCATCATTGCCTTTCCGCTGTGGAGGTGTCCGCCTGCAATCACGGCCTCGATGTCTTAAAGTCATGGACTTTTGTTTCTAACTTATCCGACCTGTCCGCCTTGGCGTCCTCCTGTCAACATCCGAAAGGCTCCCATGCTGCCATTTCTGGCCTCCGTGATTCATCCGGCCAGTTTCTTACACGGCACGCGGCGTGTTACCCTGCATCTTTGTGCTCACGCCTGGCCGCCATTATTTCCCCCTTCCTTTCGCAAAACGTGGGTGTTGTCCCTTTCCTGGACTGGGAAAAACGTCTCCTTGCGCCAAAGCTGCAGTGGCCTATCCCGGCTTCTCGTGTTGAAGACGGAGCAGGTTCCTGCTCTACCGGATCCTGGTCCGTCCCCCAGGCTGAGGATTCCTTTAAGCAGCTGCGTCAGGCCTGGATGCAGCGAATTACTCGTCCTGACTTCCTTGGGAAATTCCGTGCAAACCTGGCGTCCGGTTCAAAAGACCCTCCGCTGTCTGATGTGGACTTACGTCCTTTCCTTGAGGACCTGCGATCCTTTCTGAGGTTATCCGAGAGGGAGTTCCAAACCCTGCTGTGTGTCCCTCCGGGTCAACCTTTCCGTCTCTTCTTGCTCGAAGCCCTGCTTGAAGTTTCCAGGGACCCGGACATATCATTCATTGACCTCTTGGTGGAGGGCGTTCCGCTGGGGGTGGATGAAGCCATGCCCTCTTGTCCCGCACTTTTTCCGCCTTCCACACCTGTGTCTCCCAAGGTTCCGCTTCAGCATTGTGAGTCTGCTTGGGGTTCCGCTCTGTCTGATCCTCAAACTGTGGATTCCCTCCTGGATTCGGAGGTTCGTGAGGGTTGGGTCCAGCCGGTCCCTGGCGGGTTAGCTGCTTTAAAAGCTAACTATTCCCGATCTGCAATTGGCAAGCTGGGTCTCGTAAAGGCTCCTGATCGTGACCCCCGGTTAGTGGTCGACAGCAGCGTTTCCGGGGTTACCGACCACACTTCCCTTCCCAACAAATCCGCCAACCCTACCATTTCCGGTTTGCGGCGTTGTGCTCCGGCCCGGCCTGCTCTGGAGGCATTATTTGCTCTCATTTTAGATGTCAGTAAGGCACATCGCCGTATCCTTATCCGTCCGTCCGACCGCGGCCTCCTTTGTTTCTTTCACCGTGAGGTCCTTTATCAATGCCTCACTCTCAACTTCGGTGCCCGCGCCTCTGGTTTTTACTGGGCCCGGATGGCCGGCCTACTCTCCCGCCTTCTGCACCGGCTGGTATACGTCCGCCACGGTGGATGACCTTATTTCCCTTTTGTCCGGGCCTTCCGCTCCGGTTTGGGCGGCGCTGATGTGCATCCTCCTTTTGATCCTTCGGGTTCCTATGAGCTGGCATAAGGCATACCTTGGCTCTCGACCCACCATGATGTGGCAGTGTTAATTTGGAGAACTTGCATGCAAGACTCAGCAGTCGTATTTTGCTATTTTGAAAGGAGAGGTTTCACATGTACAATACTTGATCGTGGTATCTTGCCTTAGGCTTGAGAACTTGAGAGCCTCCTTTTCATACTTACCTGCGGTAGAATGCTCGAAGTGAGTTCCTCTACACGACTTAGCAACTGTAAGCAGTGTTTGATTTTGGCCGTACAAGCGGGAGCAGTTGTTTGGCGAAGAACGAACAAGACAGTGGCAACACTGATTATGTAGGTTTTGTTCATGTAGCAGGTGGTGCGATATAGTAAACAATGGAGGCTGCAGTAGCACAGTGTATTGATCTTGCTGTCGGGTGGGCTTTTTTTGTAAGCAAATGATCCTAGGCGGCAATGCTTGCCACTCGTATTCTGCTTTCAGGTAGGGTTTTTCTTGTGAGCAACGCGATCATGGCAATGCTTGGTATACGGGTTTTAGGCAATACATAGTGCTAGTATTCCGGTTCCAAGGCATCAGGCTTTCTTGTGGTAGTAGCGGGCGCAGAGGCAGAATTCAGAAGTAGTACTTCGGTTCCAAGTAGGTTGTATTGGTTTAGAAGAGGGAGCAGGGGCAATACGTGTTGCTATTATTCGGGTTTTGGGCCTATGCCTCTCTTTTGTGTTAGTAGAGGGAGGAGAGGCTCTACTTAGCAGACTTAGCATGAGTATTCCGGTTTCAGATAGGTCCTCTTGTATTGGTGGCGGTGGGCGGGGGGCAATACAGCACAAACTAGTATGCCGGTTCCAAGTAAATAGGTCTTCTTGTGTTAGTAGCGGAGGCATAGGCACTATTTGGCATCAATATTATGTCCTGTCCTCAGGTCTGTTTCTTTCCATTGAGAGGGAGGTAGGCAATTCTCAGCACTAGTATTCCGTGTTCAGGTTCGAAATTTTGCGTGAGTAATCGGGATTCGACCGAGCAACCAGATACATAAGCAATACAAGTGGTAGATCTTTCAGGTGTGGAGTATATATATATACACATGTATGCACAATCTGTATGTGAGGGTTGTTCTAAAGGTCCTTGTTTACGGTTTATACAAGATCGGCAATGTGA